ATGCGCTAGCCCTAGTCAAGAACGTAAAAAGTGTGACTGTACAAAAAACTCTCCTTGGAAAGCCGCTGGAAAGGGAGCTGAACTGCTCCGAAGTGGGTGTGGTTGGAAATCGGCCGAGGCGACTGCAGCCGATTCCCTACCACGTCCACTTCGGAGCCGTTAGCTCTCTTTCTAGCAGCTTTCCAACTTGAGTTTTTTGTACAATCACAATTCTTACGTTCTCGTTTTTCTTCTGGAGTGGCCCCCCGAACTGAAGTTGTTACCTTGCGAAATTAAAAGTCGCCTAACTTCCCTACATTTATGAAGATGTGGTTGCCAAAACGGGCACATACAAAGAAATTAGATACGACTTTACAGTAGGATGCCAAGAAATCTTACTAATACATCTGTATAACCTAAATTTTTTGTTACTTATGCTGAAAATTTGTATAAAATTAAACTTTTAATTGTTTCCGTGATATAGTAAAGATGGACTTGATAATCAATACTGCGCATGAGAGCGATATGTTGGAGCGAGGTCAGCACTCAGCACACCTAATTAAGCAAGGTCTACCCAGAGGCAGGTTACAGGGTGGTGCGAGATAACCACGGCGAGGAGGTGTGAAAGGTCAATCCTGACTAAGTTCCCTCTCCGGTTCGTTACATCAGCTGGTCCCGCCCACCGCGGGATGTGGTGCGTGGCTGGCCTAACGTGTGAGATCAGCTAGGTTGATTGCCGTATCAACCGATGGAACGGCTGGCATATCCGGAAAACTCGTTTGGACGTGGCTCTCCCCCGAGCAAGCCTCCTTCACTGCTAGAAGGGAAGGGGTTTCGATTTCGGTCTTGTCGACGGTTTCTTTGCGTTTTTTCTTCACTGTCGTTCCACCTCCCATCTCTACACTCAATTTCAGGCGCCATAATGCCCAAACACGAGCCTGACTTTTGCCTTTAAACTGAGCCGGATTTTGATCGAAATTCGTCCATGACTGTGGATTTTGCTAGAAACTTGCCTTCAGGGGTAATTTGACCCGTAGATCACGAATATAATACCGGTTTAGAGCGAAAACGCTTGGCGCCCGCGCCACAGGCGCCGGCGCTATCACAACAGTTTTGCGCGGGCGCTCGTAGCGCAGGCTACAGGTTCACTCGTAACAAACTGATGTGATAATCATATTCTACGGGTCAAAATACCTCTGAGGACAACTTTCCAGCGAATTTGGGGATCCGAGATGTTCTGGCGCCTTTTGGCGCCGGCGCTTCTGACGCGAGCGCCAGGCGTTCTAGCGGTAAACAAATGTGATATTCGTGTTCTACGGGTCGAATTACCCCCGAAGACAAGTTTCTGGCCAAATTCACAGTCAATGACCAATTTCGATAAAAATCCGGCTCAGTTCTCGAGGAGTGGGGCAGTAAAGGGTAAATAGTGCCCATCTATAATTTAAGCAACATCAAATATATTTCAAATTAATGATGGTTAAGGGCAAGTACAGTGCGCGACTACCCCTCCCCTCTCTCGAGGAATACAATCCCTGCCTCGAGATTCTCCATCGCCCCCCCCCCCCCCCCCTTTTTTTTTTTTTCCCCCCCTTTTCAACACTGATCTATGGCAGTGCCAATGCGAACAAAGTGGATGGGATTGAAAGCGTGTGTGTAGGGGTATATAAAAGACGGCGGACCATGGTGATTGAAATAATAAATTTAATGTATTAGAGTGTAGCACGGAAACCTTTCGAGCAAATCACAAGCCATATTCTCAGGCTCAGGGTCAAGCGAGGCGTCGAGGACTTCGACTTACAATCCCCCGTCCGCCTAGTCACCAATGTTGCCATGATCAAGGACTCTTTGCGTAAAGACGGCCCATGAAGAGATGTGATTGCTTTTGCATCGCATTCGTTGATTGTGGGCTGAGCTTATCTACTAGGGAAACACGTGAAAATTGAGCACGTCTAATGACAATAACTTTCTTCAAAGTTGTTTTCCAATATGAAAGACCAATTGGAAGTAGCTCGAAAAGTGCTTGGCTAAGCTGGTGGAAACAACGAGAAACCAGTTTTCCGGCAAGTGGCGAGGAAGTTTCCTACACTTCCAGAAGTCATAAATTCTTTCAAATGCAACAATTCGATAAGCCAAAATAGCGCTATAAACTTGAAGACCTGCTCTATTCAGCCGTCACTGAAAGACACTTGACACTTCAAATAGGTCAAAATGGTCCCGCTGAGGAATTTCATCTGTGTAGCGCTAGAAGACCACTGTGTTACACTGATCCTCTTTGAAGCCACGAGTAGGGATTAGGTTCCAAGAGCTAGTCGCTTATAAAAAAAGGAGGAGGGGACTCAAGGCAGAGGCGCGACACTGTCGCGACTCAAAAGTGCGAGGCAACGGCGCTAAGGCCTTGCCTTGTGTGCTGCCGTGCTGCCATCCTTATCAACCACGGCATACGTGGTCTCTGCGCCCTCTCGCGTACGACGTACTATCTCGCGTTTTCCCTCTCCTCGCAGCGCTGTGTCTCTCCTGTCATACCACGGCCGGCCTCATAAGGTGAATTCCAGAGTTTCTAAGTTGCTTTTTGCCTTTTTTCCCACCGGAGTTCCTCGAACGGAATAATGCACCAATTCGATCCCGACTCCTACCTTTGAACGACCATACTTTTTTTATAGGCAGTTTAACACAAAAATAATAAACAACCGAAAAAGCAACCTCTCTGCTCTATACAAGTGAAAAAATGCACTGCAGGATTTTGAATTTAATGGTTACATATTTACAAGTTAACGCTGAAAATTAAGTTTTACCTAGAGTGGGGGATTCATTCTGTATTATGAACAATCTCTTGCAAGAAGCACTTGATCCCTTTTAAACTTACATCTCCACGAAAGGAATGAAGAACATCGTGTCCCTCGAGCGAGGAGGGTCCACTGGACAACTCTTGCACGCGACAGGGACGAATGGAGACGTTGCTGGCGCCCGCTCGAGCAATTCGATGATCAACGGGACGACAGGTGATACAGGTGATACAGGTGATCTCCACCCCAGAAAAGGAGATTGAAGCTCATGGCTTTGGTTACACTCGCTCAGAAACGCACCGCGCATTCGAAGTCTGGCGCGAGTCGCGACTCCTCTTGTATCCCAAACAGGTTACCGCCGCTCTGACCATTGCTGATCCCGGTCCTTGCGACTCCTCCAATCCTATAGACCTAATACCTCCCCACACACATCAATGGTCCCTGTACGCATGACCTTGTTCGGCTTCTGCTCATAACGACTCCTGGGTGTCGCGCGACGGTAGGCAGTAAAAAATTCATGTTCACTGGATGCATGCAGTTCAAAATAAGGGTAATCAAAGCTCCAGATTCAGCCCTCTAGAAATTTGGAGAATAGTGTCAGCATTTGCGAATCCTAGAGGAAGAACCATTTAAAGATCACTCTCAAGGTTTTTGGGCAGTCCTGCTATGGAATTCGATTCAACGTTAACTGGTCATGCACGTGATCAATGTGAAATAAGGCTTTGAAAGTGGTTTGACGCGCATCATAACAACAGAACCTGATCAATTCCATTGTTTTAATCTCAACCCACTTTCTAAACTCAGTTTTCTTTGCTGGAAGGTAGCCACTAAGATAAATAGAATAACTATTGTTTCGGACCTCATCAACTTCACGCTGAACTTTTTCTTGAATGTGAGGATTAGCACCCATCAGATGAAGGAACCAATTGATTGAAGCCGACGTAGTGTCATGCCCCTAAATAGTTCTAGATTTCTGAGTGAAAAGTAATCCACGCTCTATATGTTCAAGATGCTACAAACCTCGAAGGTGAAGGTATCGACTTCTTCCTGTACACCGTCCATGGGCAACTCGCCTTTTGCGTTCATGTCCAACATTCAAGTCGAGGAATGCCATACGTCGACGACCTAAGAACAATGCCTCTATTTTTTGCTCTTTGTTTAAAGCGTTCATACTCTTATCGTCTACCAGCAAGCTCAACGGTATTAAATAAGTGGAGAGGTCAGATCAATATGATGATAGGTGAACTACATAAAAACGACAAAATCACGTGTCATTCAACTTTCACATTTGCGATTTGTAGCGAAGTATTCTCCACGTTTACAAACTTAAATTTGTTGTTAAGCTTGTACCGCTTCTGTCCACCCGGCAGACTCGTTCGAATCACAAATCACTCTACCTTTGAATGACCAATAGGTTGTCCACATCTTCGCGGATAGCACCCCCTCCTATGTAGCGCCCATCCAAGATCCTTACCACGTGAACAACTCAGGGTGTTTGTGTGGCTCTAACATCACCATCCGCGCCGTTGTCTCCAACTGGTTATGTGGCCTTTCGAGTAGAGTTGGTACATCACTTTTTTGAGGTACTGTTTTCTTACTTGTAATCTTTCTCTTCACTTTTCTATTAGTGCTTGCATATCGGTACACGTTGCCCACCTTCAGCATGAC